TAACCCTGAATTTTATTTATTGCAGCTTTTCAAAAATGGCAATATTGAACATTGCAGAGTTAAGGACAGGAACATGGCATCCAGATCACTACAATGAGATGAAGTTGTCTGGGTGCTTATATAGTGTCACATTAAAAGGAACAGTCCAGGTACAATAACCACTACCATTAAAATTATTACTAGCATTTACAAAGCACAAACAGTCTGCAGCGCTAGAAGTCAATACCATATAAAACAGACCAATAGAAAACGTAATGAGGAGCAGAGATCTAGCCCATGAAAAATCCTTTGTTGTAATAGATATAGAACTTGGTCTGATTCTAGGGGAAGTTCATAAAATGCTCTATTATATCATTGATATGTACAAAACCAGTATATCATATCATTGACCATTTTGTTCCAAAAAAAAAAAAAAAAAACCATCCATATTCTAAAAACCTGAAAAAATAAAAAAAATAAAAGAGTCCACGATGTCAAATTCTCTAACGTTTAATCACTATAAAGAAATTTTATTTTAAGCAAAAGATCATTTATTTTATAGTCCTATCAGTTGTTTATACTGGTTTTAGTGCTAAAATACCATCCAAAATGCATTTTAATTTTTCTAAAGCAAGCATGTTTTCTAACCTAACCTATCTCCACAATTAAAATTGTGGATTTCCATAATTAATTTTGAAGCCTGCAGCTGAACTTTTCAAGGTTACTTATACTACAATGTGTTCAATATTTTTGCATACACAGATATTTTGTAGTATGTTCATCCTAGAGCGGTTAAATAAAAAGTACATCTATACATTTCCTAGATATTCTAACGATGTATAGGACGTGTTTTATACTCTAAAAAAGAGCACAAGTTATATTAAGCATTACACTGTGCTGGTACTGTGATATTCAACTATCTGCTGCATTACAAGGTACGGCCAAGTCAATGAATAGCAGAGTTAGGGCTGTAAAATGAACATGAAACATCACATGATTACTTTCAAGCTACAGATAGTTTGCAGCAACAAATACTGTTAGAAAACAGTTAGTGTTATGGAGACTGTTGCATAGAAAATATGTAATATATACACACGTGTTGAATTGATGGTATTTCCCTGTTGCAATTTTACAGTAATTACTAAACTCATTTTCAAATGGTTTAAATACGTAGGCAGGTTTTTCTTCCTTCTGGATATCACTGTAGTTATTTCGCTTGAATGTAATTTTTAAAATCATTGATTGGCTGAGTGTCAGCTTTCGCCTAGAAAAATCAGTGTTAAAAAGGATTAATCAAATTTCACAGGAGATTGAATAGGTTTATTTACAAGATGGCTTTTTACAAACAACCAAAGTACAGAATAAATAAGAGTATAACCAGCATAGCACAGACTGATCCATTCAAATCAAACACCTATTAAGTGATATGCACTCATTCCATTAAAGGGATGAACACTGCATTTGGCAAGCTGTGTTAAGTGAGGAAGTGGTGTATGGTCAAGTTAAGCAAACCTTTGTACACTGCCAAATAAATCTTACAGTTGCACGTCTTGTAAATAAAATAGCAGCTAGATTTTTAGTTTTTCCACATATTTACACACATTTCATTAAATACTTTATAGACATTCACGAAGGTGACAATTAAGCCATGTGTGGTTTTGCTGTAACTTTATTGCTTCATAGAACGGTTATGTCACAAGGGTAGGCACGACTACCTCAAAGGAAAGGGATCTGAAAACAGAAATTGAAGCAGAAGGCAAGACAAGTAGAAGAAATATGTACACATCTATTTTATATAGTTGCTCTCCCTTTGGCATTTAATGCGTTAAGTGTAAAGTGTTGATACCAGGACATTGCCCTATAGACTATGCTGCGTAGTCTGCACTGATCGCCACCATGGAGACTTCAGATTTTTGCAGTGTAAAGGCTGAATATGGGAAGATATAATACAATATCTGCAGTGGCAAGGTTAGCCATTATTGTAGTCAAAGATGCTCTAATGGACTATTTTTTCCACCTTAGATAATCACTAAATAGAATGAGTTGTTTAACCCCCTTAAGGACACATGACGGAAACATTCCGTCATGATTCCCTTTTATTCCAGAAGTTGTGTCCTTTAATAAATAAAGGGTCTCTTGGAAGAGAATGTAAATAGCTGACTGGTGTTACAGGTAGACTGAAGGGCACATTTAACATCATATAACAATTGCACTAAATACAGCTGCAGTTAAAGTTGTACCAGAAAATAGTTGGCTTAAATTTGGGTCTAAAATGAGAATAAAATGAGAACCATTAAAAGGCACACTCCAAACACCATATCCACTACAGATTGCGGTAGTGTTCATGGTGCCAGCCGGGTCCTGGTGCCACCCCATATATAAAGTAGTCCAACAGTTTGGCAAGAGATCATTTAATGCTGTAACTGAATAAACTCTACATATTGCACAGTGCTTACCAAGTGTTTCACACATTTATTGCATAAGCTTATTTCATAACAAAACATGTTCACAAGGAGGGGGTGGGGATACACCACTTTCTCCAACAGAGAATAAGAGGGAAGAAAATAAACCAAAACCAAACCAAATCTAATAAAAATAAAAAATAGATGTCACCATATTCTGTGTCGTAGTCCATCTTTAGTTCATTCAGGATTTCAAAGCAACTACCACCAATCAGGTTCTGATGTAGCAATCTACTTCATTCTAAATTATAAGTGCAATGCTACATACAAGAACTAGGAATTACATTTTTTAATTTTTTTTTAAATGGCGACATGTTGGAGGAAAGGTGGTGGTGGGGGGGTTGAAGGGAGGATACATGTAAAGTGTTCAAAATTGACAATCCAGAGACCTCCAGTGGAAATCGCCTTACAAATCACTTCTGTGCAAACCTTGTCTGGTATTTCAAGAAGGATTAGACAAATTGTTTTTATTGTGCCACTGTGTTCTAATGTTAAGCCGACCATAGCATGCAGTCTATCATGTTTTGCAGGAACTTGCTGGGGGGGGGGTAGGGGGCGAGGGATAAAATGAGGTGATAATTCAAGATTGCTGATCTATTAAACAAGGCACATTATGCTAGCTTTTTAAAACTTCAAGAGTTCCCTTCCTCTTTAAACTTCATATATTGGCACAAATCTAAAATAAAGACCAGTAGAAAAAGCCAATAATGCACACTGACCACCAGCCTCTTTCCAGAATTACAGAGAGTACATACCGAGAGCCATACAGAGTAATGGTCTGAAACTATGGAGGTAACCAGTAAAAGTGTCCTGTCTAAACAAGTTGCTATGCTCCATCAATGATTTTCCAGCAGTCAGCCTTGGACTATAAGTGTACATGCAGATGTTAAAACACCAGTCTTTTTAGATGTTTGGTGGAGGGGCAAAGAAAACAGAATTTGGGGCACAGTGCCTTAATGTTCTCATACACACCTTAAGTATATAGTGCTATACATGGCAAAAGAGCCCTTAGATGGCAGTTTATATAGTGATTCAATGGCCTCATTTATATTCTAGACAGCTAGGACTTCACAGGATCTAGATTATAAAATAGGACTAAATATCTAAAAAAAAAATTCTCTATTTAAAAGTCTAAAGAAACAGATCTTTAAAAAAAAATAAAAAAAAAAATTATCCAACAATATAAAGTTCAGATCTCTATACTAGCTTTATCGAGAAAAAAAAAATAATTAAAAATCTAGTCACCAGAGTGAGCAAATGGTTCACTCCTTAACAAGGCAAAAAATACTTTGCTGATTGCATCAAATAAAGGAAGTGGGACAGCAATAATTCTGGAGAAAGCCTTCCTTCAGACGCTTGCTTAATGTGTCGAAGAAATACATCTAAAGTGAAAGCAATGCTATAAAATCGGAAGAAAAACAAAACATGGAATCTTAATGTTGGTTCTTTCATGCAAGTAATGTTCCAAAGCCATATATAAAAAAAATATATAAATAAAACACTCAACACCCTACCAGTGAATAAACTTGCACCATTCAAAATTGAAACTAGTTTCCTCAACAACTTGCTCATTTCTTCTTCTTCACGCTGGGGGCATAGGGGACAAATTTTCCATGGATTTTAGTTTCACTTAAATTTGAAGTTCTTAACTAGATTCTTATACAACGGTAGTGTGACACTATGTATGTAACTGCACTTTACCACGGATGCTTAAAATTAGACCAAAGCAAGGATGGTCCTCTTTCATATGTGTGCAGTGATATGTCTAAGGTTTGGTGAAAGAAAACTGCTAACAGCCCTCATCTTTATAGAACACAAAGTTGGTTATATAAAAACAGATGCAGAGCTTTATAAAGTGGAGTATAGACTGAAAGATGAGAGCCAGACCTATTGGAGTTGGGTAATAGTAACGTTTGATTACCAGCTGCAGATTTGGTTACATTTGAGCCACACATAGAAAGGATTATATTTTCTATACAGTGTGTGAATATACAAGGGTGTGTTTATAAGATTTATGGTATTTGGGGTGGTGGACTAGGGGGGAAAGGGGGATATCTGTACAACTCCATAGCTATGCTAGAAGTTTTTAAAGGTTTCAATAAATTCTTCTTTAATAACCTGGAACCTAATGGAGTTGCCACACCTGCTTTGATGGAGTTTTCTTTCACCGACATCTAGAGTATCAGGACTTGTCCATGTTTAACTGCTCTTTGATTTTGATTTGTGGGTCAGTAGGCTACCACTAATGGAGATAAAGTGAAAAAGATGAATATTTTAGAGATCAGATAAGATTTGTAAAGTGCCTTTTAATAAAATAATTAAATTCTTAATAAGAAATCTCTGATTGAAGAGTCTTTAAACTTTAGAATATTAAAATGTTAACCAACACCTTCCCCTCATGGTACCACTAGCCATGAGGTACTGGAAAGGAAACGGCTGGTCAGTGTGCCACGTAATGTCCACATCAGAGTGCTTTAGACATGCTTGGCCGTGTTGTAAGTCCACACTGCATCAAATAAGCGTGGTCAGACGCTAGGCTTCTTAGGAGCTTTATATAAATCATACGTCCGACCATAAAACTCCCCTGCCTCCCTTGTCCACGCTAACCACGTAAGTGCCAGAAGGAGACCATGCAACTGCATTTATAGAAGAGCTGCAAGAGAAAAGATGTGTGTTAGAATATCATGTCACTGCATTGACAGTTTTAGAGACAAATAATTATATGTTAAACCATACATTGGGTGGCTTATGTCTCTCACTGTATTACTTATATCATGACTTAACCGTAAGATCCTTAAAGGCAAAGTCTTTAAGATGCTGGAGGGGTAGAATAACATGCATCATAAGTACAGGCATGGGTCTATTACATAATGTTATTGATTCATCTTGGCGGGTTCCTACTTTTATGATGAATCACTGACTAGACCAGTAGTTTTCAAACCAGTCCTCTAGGCATGCCTTACAGTCCAGGATTTAGGGATTAACCTGTTGTGTCCAGGTGTTTTACTTTTTTTTTACTGAAAAAGTAAAACAAACCTGAACACAACAGGGTAATCCTTGAATCCTGGACTGTAAGGCATGCCTTGAGGACTGGTTTGGAAACCACTGGACTAGACAATGCAAGGGATAAGGCAACCACTGCAAGAGTACATGGAATATCCCCTTGCCTGTGAGGATACTCCAAGCGCAGCAAGAATGGCAGCACAGCCGACATCTGGCCTTAAATAACACAGTCAAAACAATAATATGGGAAACCAGCAATTTTACAGAGGGTACTCCAAAGAGCATCTAAAGTCCATTGTTGGGTATTGCAATACTATTAAAGGGACACTCCAGGCACCCAGACCACTTCTGCCCATTGGAGTGGTCTGGGTGCCAACTCCCACTACCTTTAACCCTGCAACTGTAATTATTGCAGTTTTCATAAACTGCAATATTTACCTTGCAGGGTTAACTCCTCTAGTGGCTGTCTACGTGACAGCCACTAGAGAGCACTTCCGTATCCATAGCACAGGTTCTGTGCTAGAGCTTTCCCCATAGGAAAGCATTGAAAAGCATTTTCAATGCTTTCCTATGGAGAGTTCTAACGCACGCGGAGTGTCCCTTTAATTGCACACTCCATACAGCACATAGAAACATAGAATGTGACTGCAGATAAGAACCATTCGGCCCATCTAGTCTGCCCAATTTTCTAAAATACTTTTATTAGTCCCTGGCCTTAAGTCTAGGAGGAAAAATGTAGGAAAGGTTTGTGTCAACTCTACCTGTGTTGCTTGCTAAGCATCTTCTCCACTTTACCAGTAATTACATTCCAGAAGTACAATGTGCCCTCAGCAGAGCCAGCAGTCACATAGGCGCCATCAGAACTACAAGTAGAAGGTCAGAGAGACATTACATAGAATATACATAGATTTAACAACCCCCCCCAAAAAGATATTTTCCAAGCCATTTATTGGGCAGTGTTTAGAATACAATGCATTTGTAAAACATTTAAAACAAACAGTGACACACAAATATTGCAAACCAGAGTTTAACCAACAATAAAATTACATTGCCCCAGAGAAAGCAAATAACATGGTCTAAAAACTTACACATGGGTGACACATTGTTATATGAACACACCAAGCACAACCACTGCAGCCTTTTATAGTGGTTATGCTGCCAGGAGTGTGCCAACGTCATCCTGGAATTATCTGACACGTCACAGAGACCTGCCAGAGATTCAAGTCTTTAACACAAGTCAGACGTCGATGCAGGTGTTCAAAAGCTAAGAGTGTCAGCTGAGTGCGCTCAGTCAATGAGTGAGTTCTTGCTTTAGACAAAATTTACCGACTTTACCAGCTCAAGAAGAACAGAGGCAGCGCAGGTGCCCAACTGTACTAAAATGGTTTGATTGATGTGACGATATTAACATAGAGCAGGTTGCAGAGGTTTGTAATTATTGGAGTTTCCTTTAATCCCATTACACATGTTATAAACACCAAAACCACATATATACATACACATACACATAAATAAAGCAATATAACACAAGAGTGCAGAATGTTCATCACCTAAAAATGGCTCTGGTCCAGTCTGATCCGCACTTGAAACCCTGAGCACTGAAAAGAAAAAAGAAAAATTACACCACATTTTATTGCTTAATCCAGTGTCTTGTTTAGTCATTAAAATCCTGACTGTGAGAACTAAGGAACCACAAACTAGAGGTAAAAAGGTCTGGAAGTTCATATGACAAATATTAATGTAATCAATATTAACAAAACCAATAACCATAAACTCTGTACATCTGGCCTGTGTATTTGTCACAAAGTAGTAGCTGTTAAATAAAAACATTTGAAGCATCGTATATAGCTAACCCGTCACACCAAGTCTATTGAGGGAATATTTGGCCAAAAAAGTCCTGCACTTCATTCTGTGGCTGGCAACCTCAAAATATTGAGCAATTCCCTAAAATTTTTTAGGCATGATAGCACCTGAAAACCGAGATCAGCCACTGATGGTAAAACCTAATTCAAATATACTTTGTGATATTGTTCGCCATCTCACCTAAAAGTCTGACGGACAGCACTGGCACGTAGGTCAATGATCTTGATGAAGTCATCACGGGAACAGCTAAGGAGCTCTGTCCTATCAGGATTCAAATCAAGAGCCGTGATTCTGCCTTGTAACTCCAATTCTCGCACTACAGTCTCTGTTCTACAAAATAAACCACATAGAACGATCAAGGCTAGTCACGTTATAGTAAATATGTGGGACGTGCAAATGAAGAGATTTTAGCTAAAAAGAGACTTGCTATGATTGAAGACATGTCTTGCCAAATCCCAAAAAGATTTTAAGTTGTACCATAACCTTGTGATTTATCATTGTGAAAAATTATCCAGACTGGCACAGCACTTGTGAACGCAATTGCAAGAAATTGCTCACAAAATGACATCCTGTGGTATATGTACCCCACAGAACAGTGACTCGCTAGGCACTACCTCCTTGACAATTTCTCAGTAGTAAAGAATAAAGTTATGCCCCAAAACTAACCATTAGTGCCACTTGTAGATTGGTTGAAGATCCTGCAGTACTCCGATAAGCTCATTAGGCGTTAGTGTCTGGCAAAAGCATGCAGTAATAGCGGTAAATAAAACCAACAGTATTTGTCCAGAGACCATTACATTCTAGTATACTGTAATGTAGTATATAAAAATGACAAATGTTATGGTCATAAGATTAGAACAGGTCTTTCATACAAAGCCCACCCACTTCAGTGTTAAATATCTACAATACCAAAATTAGGGTTTGGTATAAGATACTTGCCTTATATCCCAAAATCGAATTTTTTTATCAAAGTGGCCACTCATCACGCATTGTTCAGTACAAACAATATCATTACAGCTTGAACCAGCAAACACAGTCTTAATACCTGAAAAATGAAGGGAAAAAAAAAAAATACATTACTGCCCGTTCAAAGATGTGCAAAGGAGTAAACAGACAGACGATGAAACACAGTTACAGGATTTTTTTTTTTTTTTTTTTAATATACAAACATGGAGACATGTAGCAGGTAAACTTAGATTTGTAGTTGGGGCTCCTAAATACTGGAAATTCTAAAGCAGCACAGTGTTCCTATGATTACTGGCCAAGGTTGGATAAATAATGCACACATTCAATTCCCAATTACATGAACTGCAGGCCAGGGGTTAGGCTGTATATTCCTTGAGATCAGCTGTTCTTGTGAAACTGGGCTCTCTAGTTTGTGTCATTGATTTTGCATTAAACACTCTTAATCACTTCAATAATCTGTAGAGGTTATGGTAATTAGAAGGCCTTGAAGCATTAACCATATCCAGTTTGCAAACCAGTCTTAATCCAAATAAATTGGTTGGAAAAAACACACAAAAAACCCAGCAACACACCACGACAGACAAAGTCTACCATACCTAGACACAGATGAACAGAGTTTCATTTTTTTGTCACGGTTAAAGGGACACTATAGGCACCTAGACCACATCAGCTCAATTAAGTGGTCTGGATACAATGCCCTTGTCAGTTTAACCCTGCAATAGTAATTATTGCAGTTATTAATAAACTGCAATTATTACCTTTATGGGCTAACCACCTCTACCAGACAGCCACTAGAGGTGCTTCGAGCATCAGCTGAAACTCTATAGAAAGTATGGATTCAATGCCATGCACGCGGTGTCCCGAAGGATGGGAAACTGAGCCTGACCCAGCAGCAATGTACATTAAGTAAGTGACATGGGGGAGAGTGGGCACACTATAGTGCTAGGAATACAACTTTGTACTTCTTGCCTATAGTTTACCTTTAATTTTATCAGGTTAATGCGATACAATTAAAAGTTATGGAACAAGGAGTTTCCGAGCGCCAGTCTTTCAAGTCTTCAGTTCGTCGTCAAACAGATTTATCTTTTTCACTCCATTTTGTGAATGAGGAGTGTCAGCTAACACTCCGTTAACCAGGGGCGTCCTTCAAGGTTCCCGGATTGAAGCCTCTGACAAAAGTGGATGTTATGGGGCAGACAGATCTGGAACTTGACTGAAGACCTAAAGGGACACTATAGTCACATGAACAACTTTAGCTTAATGAAGCAGTTTTGGTGTATAGAACATGCGCCTACAGCCTCACTGCTCAATCCTCTGCCATTTAGGAGTTAAATCCCTTTGTTTATGAACCCTAGTCACACCTCCCTGCATGTGATTTGCACAGCCTTCCATAAACACTTCCTGTTAAGATAGAACTTGCAATAAAAGCCTAAATAGGGCTGTTTAATTAAGATTCTTATCCCCTGCTATGTTAATAGCTTGCTAGACCCTGCAAGAGCATCCTGTATGTGATTAAAGTTCAATTTAGAGATTGAGATACAGTTATTTAAGGTAAATTACATCTGTTTGAAAAGGAAACCAGTTTTTTTTTTTCCATACAGGCTCTGTCAATCATAGCCAGGGGAGGTGTGGCTAGGACTGCATAAACAGAAACAGTGATTTAACTCCTAAATGACAGTGAATTGAGCAGTGAAATTGCAGGGGAATGATCTATACACTAAAACTGCTTTATTTAGCTAAAGTAATTTAGGTGACTAGTGTTCCTTTAAACTATTAAAACCCCCTTAGATATAAGACCAGCACCCAGGACCCCCTCACTTCAATACGATACGGGTTCCTGCAGTCTTCCTTTAATCCCATTGTTATTCTGCAAATCTACATACATAAACACCTTTAATTTAAGTTCGGAGTGATTAATCTATTTAACTGGAGATATCAACTGATTGTTACATACCACTAGAAATTATTTCAAGGTGAACTGTTTAAACTTATTTTTCTAGAGGGACATATATCTAGATATTTATTATAACAAGCAGAAAGTCAATAAGTGTTTTTAAGTCGTGATTTAAAAAAACAAAAAAAAACAAAAAAAAAAAAAACACAAAACTTTCATTTAGAAATTCCACCATGGTTAAGATCCACCAAAAGATAGATTTTTTTTGGTCTTAAGTAACATATGTACATTTTCCTCAACCCCACATTTGTTTTCACATCAGGCATTTTAAATAATGAGCAGATGTTAAGTTTGTGTGTAAATCCCTATTCCCAACTCAGTACTTTTTGGATACTGGGAGTCTTCCTCCTTCTGTGTATATTTGGAATCCTGATTACATTGCTTGTGAGCTGGGTTCCACATCCTTACACTCCAGATGCCTATTTGGAAGGGACTACAGAAAAGCATAAATTGAGGAGCACCTCTTAAAATCAATGCTGCCATGACAATAGCATGTTACATTGCTTTAATGTATTACAAAAAGACCAACTTGCGGCTCACTACTTGTAATATGTAATGCGTAAAAATACGAGGCCCTAATTGGGTGTGGGGGAATAGACCAAATGTCTCCTCCCACCCAGAGCACTCCAAGTCAAATTGCACATTGTAGGAAGACTTTATAAGCCTTTCCCTGCCCAGCAAAGCTCAGAGCCCACCTCTGATGAAGATGGATTTTATTTCCAATCTAGATTTTTTTTTCAAAATTGGCTCCTTTATTTTATTAGTGCGTCTTGCTTTATTTGGCCCTGGTTAGGTGGGGATAGGGTATTTATTTTTACAATTAGTCCCCAATGGGTGTGACCCATTGTTGTGCCCCTGCTCACCACCAGTCATGGGGCAAACTCTTAGGGCCCCACCACTAGGCAGAGGAGACAGTAGGGCCAAAGAAAAGGGAGGGGGTGTGTGGAGGAGTAGAAGAGAAGACCGAAAACACGGAAGACAATAGGACCTGCTAATTATTTAAGGCCCTCACCCACTGCTAATGGGCAGGAGGGAGATTTTAAATCTCTTCTTTACGAAGTCCAAGTCTTTTTTTTTTTTTCTACATTGTATTAATAAAGTTAGACATTTCTATAGGACAAGACATTCAGCCACAGCGAATGGAGTGGACGCAAGAACACATTAGGAGGGAGAGCAAGTACGATGGGAAAAACTTTGACAGAAAAAAGGAGCCGACTTAAACATCTCATTGGGACAAAGAAAGTCAAGCGTAGGAAAAATGCACAAGACAGTCTCTACTATCTTTTTTTTTTTAAATAAAATAAGAACGAACAGATGAGAGAGGAAGAGGAAGCAATTGGGAAAAGGTATGTTTGGTGGGAAAAGTGCGGCTTTAAGTAGTTTGCACGTCTATTTCTCATGTTAAATATGTAGGACTTGGCAATGTTAAGCCACTCCACTGCCCATTTTAAAAAAATAAATAAATAAATAAAAAAAAAAACACACACAAACACCACACACCGCACTAGACAAGGTAAGAAATCAACTGATATTTCCCTTACTTTGATCTTTACCTAATTCAAATATGGTATATAACTTTTTAATGAATAAAATGTAATAATGAGACAAAGTAAAGTAAAAGTTTGTTTTATAGGATTCCAAAAATACTATTTATGCATTTATATTGTTAATTCTGGCAAAATACTAATTTTCAGACAAATGCAGAAAAAAAAGGCACAAAAATGGAGAACAACTTTTTTTATTTAACAGTTTGCACATGGAGCACATGGGTTTTCAGATAATTTTAAAGGCACACTCCAGCATTAGGAATGCATGTTCCTTCATAGGGAATTATTGGAATGATTGTGTGACAGCACAGCAATCCACATTGTTGCCTTACTATGCTGAGCATTCAGTGTCTCTGTGCACAGTGTAGAGATCCTGAATTAGGCAGCAATGTAAACCCTACGTTTTGCCCAGAAAAGGGCAGTGTTTATAATGCTCAGCCTGCAGGGAAAGCCTAACTACAATGATAACAAAATGGACAGGACGTCCAAGCTGAGAGAAAGCTAAGAACAGTGGAAAAAATAAATACAGCCTAATAAAAGGACAATATTACAAAAATCAAACAAATAGCACATTTGCTCGGCAAAGATTTTTTTTTTTACAATTCTGTAAACTTGGACAAATAGTCTCTCAAAGAGATACACATATACACTCACTACGTAGGAATATTGTAAGGTTTCCTCACCCTACACAGTGTGGAGGTAGTCTTCTGAGTTTCCTTCCCCCTTAGTTATTATATATAGATATGTTGGACTATGAGTTATCCTCAGGAAGCAATGTAGGTGCAGAATCTTCCACTATATTCATACTATTCTAGAGCGAGGAATTTTTAGAATATTTCTACCTCCTGAGCATATTTAGCATTACCCATCCCAGATTAGTTCTGTGTCCCTTGATGGCTTCTGACGCGAATTATTTATTTATTTATTTTTAAAAACAAGATAAAAATTTGGTATGCATTATTAAATGCCAACACAACCAGTTTCCCAATTTATGCCAGGTAGGCTCCAGTGGCTTCTCTCTTGCCTAGTTATTAAAACCCATTGTGTAGGTGCTACCTTACAGTCCTCGCTTTCTCACCATCTCCACAAAGCAATCATCTTCAAGTCAGAAATCATACACAGACTATTTCCAAGCACGTATTCATAAATGGAACCAAATCCAATATGGAGCTGGGCAAAAACCATTCACCATCACAATATCAGAAGTAGCATGAAAAAATAAAGACAAAATTTAAATATCAAACAGTCTGTTCCTGCAACTACATGTGAGCATAGTATATGCTCCTCTCCCAGGTCTTTCAGAAAAGCATGCTGTTACCACTCCCCAGATTTCATAGTTATCAAGAACAGAATGGGGCATACAAGGCAATCAGATGTGTTAAGCGTATAACAAAGGTAAAGCAAATTATAATCCCTGTGTACCCAGGCTGCTTTCTGGAGATTTAAGGCCTCTACATTTATTTTGTCACCAACAGCTAGTATAGCTGTTATAATGATGAGATCTTTGTTCAATAGGTCATGGTGGGTACACATAATGACATTGCTGTGTATTAGAATGACAAATTACACCTGAACTGGCACCAACGTCAGAGCACAATAACTGCCTAGAAGCACCTTTCATTATAACTTTTGCTACAATACTTTGTTGCATGCACTGCAATCGTTTTCTTACACACAATAGGCAAAGGTTTTGATGAGCATCATTCTCATAGCAAAGCTACAATGTAAAAGAATAGTTTGATAAATTCCCATGTAAACCAAAAGGAAGAAAATCAAGGGGGGAGGGAAAGGGAAAAAACAGCCTGTGGACACTCCTCATCCATGTTTAGCAGATCTATAATAGTGTGATCTTGAACAGGATGTTCCCTTACAGACTTTGCTGCGCAGATCCCAGAGTTTCAGTGTCCGGTCATGACTCCCAGAAACAATCCGAGCATTATCCAATAAGAATTTGGCAGACAGAACCTTTCCGCTATGCCCAGTCAGTGTGTGCTGCAACAAGAAAGAAAACCATAAGTCTTACATAAGGTAAACTAGCAATCACAGAATCTCTTTAAAAAGTTTTTAAAAATGTTTTTACAACACTAGAAACAACTTTTGCTTATTGAAGTGGTTTTGAGGTGTCGATCATGACTTGCACCAGGGGTATTGAAAACCTGTAGTTTGGACACAAAAATATTTGTTGATCTTTTCCTAAAGCACCATCCCTCCCCAATTCCACCAGTTACCACACCTCTTGACACAAAGTTAGACACATAAAATTGTATTCATATTTTCTGTTATTTTAATTTTCCCTTTAAGGCAGGGAGGGGAGGGGGACATCATTCAGGTTTTTGGTGGTTTAGTGTGGAAAGATTCAAGTCTCTCCAGGGGAGGGCTAGCAGCCTTAGGTGCAAATCCAGTCAAGCAGCCCATTGCACCAAAAGGAGAGTAACACCTTTCCCATGTGATTGAAAGGGTTGGTCAGTCATAAAAACACACACGCACACTTTTAAAGCCAGTAAACAGGGGCTGTAGTGTGGGGTATGAGCTGTAATTGGGGGTTGATAGGGACTGAAGTAGGTTGATGGCTACAATTTTGGAAAGGGGCTGTGGTGTTGGTGATATGGGTTGAAATTGGGGGAGACTAGCTGTAGTGGGGATATTATGGGGGCTAAGTAAAGGGAGTGGTGGGCAGGAGCCATCATCTCCTGATGTCAGAAGGAGGGGGTGTGACTTCCCCAGCGGTCTTCTGAGAAGATCAGTGTTAGTCACGCCCCCTCCTCCTGGCATTAGGAAGAGGCCAGCTGACTCCACTGGCTGCAGGGAGAGGCGCAAGTTGAAAAATCCGAGTACCCAGCCAGAGACAGGGGATTCATTTCCTTTTTGCTGGATGCGGACGGCACTGGGTTTAGGTTGACCTGGGGGCTAATTGCTCGCCTGCCCCCCATCCCAGGGTCTCCCTTTGGATGCAGAACTTCATGTGATGACCCCCACGAGCTTTGCACGCATCGTATCAAAGCGTTAACTAGGTAACCAATGGCAATGCTCTGGACTGTGGTCTAAAACCAGGAGGCAAGTGCTGTTCATAGACCCTCAGTTCTCAGGAGTTATGACTGAAATATTCCAAGATCCATGGATTTTCGAGGGCCCACTGTTTTAGACAGAGTCAGTCCCTGGCTACTGATGCCCTGGAGACTCCAATGTGGGACTAAAACTCAACGGAGAAGGAAATAAACTGTAAAGTAAACACTTGGCTGTAGTTGCAAATTGAAAATGAAAAAAAAAAAAAAAAGTTTTCCAAGGAGGCTAAGTGAGCCAGGGCTCACTAACTAGGGCTGCATAAACAAAGTGATTTAACTCCCAAAAGTCAGAATTAAGCATTGCAACTTTAGAGGTATGATCTATACATTGACTTTATTAATTAACGGATGGCTATTTATCTATGTTATAATAAAGGCTTTTATTATACAGACATGGTTGCCAGCTAGTGTACAAAAGGAAATTGAGCCACTGCTGATTGTAAAACAAACGAAGTCTCAGCACGAAGATATTTCATACACTGAATCCATTACACCTTAGACTCCTTCTCAAATGATTATGTTGGAAGCCCATCATAGTCACACCTCTCCACTCTTCAAGAGAAGTGGCTATGAGATATTCCGAATGTGTCAGCAACTTTGTTAACCAGTCAACTGCACATCTTTAAGCAGGATGGGGTGAATTGCGATATTGCTGGGAGCTAGTTTGGTGTAAGAGGGAAACCTTGCAATCAGACCTTTTACTCATCATCATTGACTTCTTGCAGGACAAAATCTACTAATGAGCTCAAATTCCAAACAAACAGATCCTGCTTACCCGCAGCCTGTAGTCATCCACTGTCCAGATTCTACTGGCAAAGTCATTGGAAGCAGCAAGAAGGTAAGAGCCCTAGAGACAAATTCAAAAGGATTGGAGTTGTAAGTATATACTATAGCATTCACTAGCTCTGGTCTGCGGATACTCAAGCCTGCAACCATATGGACTAGGCTACGTCACCTTGCTGAAGTGGTGTTTTTCCCCCCCTATTTATAAAAAAAATAGTAAGGATACTTACAGCACTGTCAAATTCTATGCTGGTGATCCCTGCATTGCTACCAGTAAGAGAACCTTTTGTCTCACATTTATCTGTAGAAAGAGTAAAGAAACAAATTATTTTTTTTGAAAACTAATACAATTCTGTCTTCATTTTCCTTAGCTCATGCTTAAAATGAGCAAGATGAATGAAAATATACAGGGAGGTCTCAGCTTGAAAACTTTTGATCATGAACTGTATTGTACATTGTCCAGTCCCCCGACCTAGGTCTCCACCTTTAAGGTAAATGTTGGATGCGTTTTAATCCATGTATCCTTAGACTTATGAATACATGGAAATGTGAATAATCCAATAATATCAGCAGCTTTTGGAATGCATTATGGTATAAACTTGATCATAATGCAAAAGGGAATAAAAAAAAAAACCTGCTGTGAGCTTTCAGTGTCGGGGGGGGACAACAGTGCAGTCATACCTTTTACTAATCATCATTGACCTCAACAGAAAAGCAGAGGAGATAAATCAATACAAAGGGTGGCTCCTAATCCAGTTTGGAAATAGAAACTCCAGTTTTTTTTTACAGACTACAGCTGCAATCAACAGGGTGAATATAATTTTAATAACTAGTAAAATTCTATTAAAATCAAGTTTACATGCAAGGACTTGCTGGTTATTATAATCTTCACTATTGGCAACCAAATTAAGGTTTCAAATTATATATCAAGTGATTTGTTATCTACCACTGTCATAAAACAGATAATGATTCTAAGATTAAGTACAGTTAAATAAGCCAATTTGTTTAGAGTATTTTAAAAGCAGATTATGGTATCTGAGCTTTTTAGATTTAGAATTTAAGGGAGTTATTTATGCAGAAGCACGTTTACTTGGACTAATGCAATTAATCAAAATTTAAGTATTGCATGAACAAACAGCCTCATAAAACATAACCAATGCTCATTTAATGCTGAATAAGCTATGGGCTATATGGATCTTAGATTTGACCTCCAAAAGTGGTTATAATAAATAAATAAAAATAAATTCTTCTAAATAAAATTTATTCACAGTTTGATCTGGATTAATTCAAGAGTGGTTCCATGATGGGACTAGAGGTCTTAATATGAACAGCAAACAAGTTTCAAGAGATTTTAACTTAAAATAAAAAAAGAAACCACAATCCACCAAGCTAAATCATAGCTAGTGATATGGTCCTGCTAACAGATGTAGTACAGGATATGAAAGCAACAGCATCTACCATTGGTACCAATTTTGCATTTCCTTACTTAATTCAAACATGCAATATGTATTCCTGTCAGCAAAGAAATTACCTCCAATCACTTCCCAAAGTCTCACCCGCCGGTCCATCCCCCCTGTTGCTAGTAGACGGGACCCTGGACTAAATTTTACAGCATTCACTTCACCATCGTGTGCATCCTAAGAGTGCAAGGGCGAAGAAGAGGGAGGAAAAAAAACAAAAAAAACACAAAGACAAAGATTTAGAGGGAATATTTTGAGCCATATTTAACAGTACAGCTTCTCAGTGGCCAAGGGTATAATATGGTTTTTCAAATACTGTAGTCAATAGCAGAATCAGGGGTGACAAAAAGTTAAGACTCCCCAACTACAACTTCCATGACAGCTGTTACCGTTAGTGAAGTTCTACCTTTCAGCCACCCTGATCTAGATCAGTTTACTCAACTCTCACACTAGCATAGGAAATACCTTTTTGATTTGAAGCTTAAAAGGGTGTCCTGTGATTTAGAAGAGGTCTCAGCTTGAAAACTTGAGATCATACACTGCCTGTATTTCTTCCCATACCCAAACTCCTTATGTTTTAAGAATTGTAGGATATCACCACACCCACAGAATGATTCTTGAAAATGCAGGTTGAAGGGCATCCAGATGTGTCAGCAGATTATCAAGCCACTCAGAGCAATGCTAGAACTCAGTGGAAGAAAGACAATCTGCTGGGAGTTTGTTGGGTTTAAGGGAGGAATGCAGTGCGTTCAGACCTTTTACTAATCATCAATGACCTCAGAACAAAATAAATGAAAAGGGAATGTTCCATTGAGGGGAAACAGATTTCTAAATGTATTGCATGCAGTGCTTAGCAACGATAGTTTTGTTGAGTATTTAATGCAAGATGTCTAAAATTTGTATACATATATAAAATCCAAAATAAATGTAACAGTTAACAAACCAGGCACAGGCAATACTTACAAATGAGTGAACAGCCATAGAAGGAACTCTTACTTCCCTGCTTCCACCGCTATGAGCATCATTGCAATCCGGTGAAGATGGGATTGATAGCGACCGTCTCCTGAAGTGAAATGGAATTTTATAATTAAAAATAAAAAACCCACCAAACAACCCCAGAAACCTCTGTAAAACAAAATTAAAACCACTCTACTCTGCATATAATCTGATCTTCACCAGATTAAACAGATTTCAGAAACAGTGAAGGCTCCCCAGGAACATACAATGCAATATTATCTGATAATAGATCATGCAGCAGTGATAGGGGCTAAGCACTATAAGCACCAGAGCTACCAATTAGGTCTTAAAATCTACCTCTATGGCAATGTTTAAATGGACAGAGGTAAAATTGTCATTGTTAATACAGTATTTCTACTCATTCTATGCATTACAGGTTTTTGTGAAAGAGCAGAATGAGAAGCTCATGATTGGTGGAGCTACTTCATGATGAGATAGGGGGTTAAAAAGACAGTCATTTTTTGACCTGTGGAATTTCAGGACATTGGAAGAAAAAAGAAAAAAAAAAACGTATGTTTTTCCATTGTCTATACAACGTATTAATAAAACTGGTTATTTTACTTAGAATTCCTTTAAGATTTTTAGTGATGACAAAAAATAATTACAGGTAACCTTCACCAAGTTGTCCAATTCGAAACGTGTATTAAAAAATAAAAAATAAAACACAAAGAAACCACATACACAACACCAAGAAACCAATCTGCCTTCCTGCTATAAACTGAAGAACATTCATAAAAAGTTCATTTTCAGACATTAAGTTAACAAGAAAATACTGATATTTCTGTTATGCCATACCACAGCTTAAAAGATGGAATAAGAATCCATAATGATATATTTTTTAGATTAAAAGGCAGAGATTTTAAAAAGGGAAACAATCCACAATGATGTCCAGATGTGACTTAAAGTAAAAAGATGTTGCCTTGAGTTGATCCCCTATTCAAAATCATGCCTGCCCTCGTTCTAACGGGATGCGATTAAAAAGATCCCAGGAGGGGATTGGTACCAATGCTCTGCAGATTACATGAAACAGGAAAGCAAGGATTGAGGAAAGGAAACGTCACCTGGCAGTATCTGAACGATGACCCAAGAGGGGAGACTCTGACAAACTGCAGGGGGAGATCAGCGAAGCATAGGGAGAGCAAGGAGAGATGTACAAGAAACAAAAACAGGATAATCATATTAACCCCATGGCAGAAATATAGCAGCACACACAGCTACCCAGTACATTACCAGAGGTGTTAAAAATAAGAGCTAAAGTCCAAGCCTTAAAAAGTGGTTAAGTACTCTAACGAACATGCACTAGAACTTATTTAGCATCGGATTGGAGATAGAAGTCAGGAAATGCCTGCTCTTCATGGTTTCTTATCAAGTGTTATTGGAAAATAACGTAACGTAGTGGTTCTGGGAGCATACTAAACTATTTATACAAGCATGATATATAAAGTAATGAATTAAAGAATTGCCACAAAATGTGTGGGTTCCTTGTCCTTGAAGTGTGGCTGCCACTGGCCTCAAGCAGGGTGGGAAGAGAGGTGTGCCCTGATGCGGCACCGAGCAGGGCCCCACGCTGGGATGTGGAAACGCTGGACAGACAGGAACTGCTAGGACATTTACCACAATGGTTTATTAGGAATTTGTGGCAAGAACAGGTTTAAGTAGCATTCATTACAATGGAAACTCCAGGAGACATTATCAAATATATAAATGCATTATGTGACAAGGAGATCAATAAAAACACAACACACCCCACATCAACACAAGCATTTGAAGTTCCTGCATTTGTTGCAAATCCAGACAGTTTACAGTGTGTGCAGAGATCCCTAAGCAAGAGAGACCAAGACTATTTTGCACTGCAGAGCTGATGCCATAATGTACTGTTTTTATGGACACAAAAGTTTCTGGAAAGTGCAGTTCAACTGTCAGATTTCTACTGCAGACAGCTGAACATGTTTCAGAAACCTAGGCCATGACAACATACCACAGTAGTATTGCAGCAAGAGGAAACTCAGCAAGTTGTAAGAGTAGAAAGGTTGGGCTTATAGAGAAATTTCTAACAATGAAGAAAGTAATGAGAAAAATAAACCAAAAACAACAACTCATACATCCAGCACCAAATGTAACCCAGCAGACACATGGACCTAATACAGTTACCTGGAGTATCCCTTTATTAGGAGCCTACTCCCTACATGTAGCCATGATCGCGCAATATTTGAAGAGGTCAGCTTAAATCTCAGTACAACGATGGACATCAATATTTTCTCTTTAAAATAAACACATTAACAGTCACCACGTACACGTATGTCAAACTAATACTGGTGACCTACCCGAAGATATTAGTGATAGAATCCAGGAGGCCTCCTACGGCGGGCTGAGAGTGTCTCTTACTAGAGGGAGAGGGAGGACAGGAGTAAGCCAGATATACAGAAGAATCCATCACCAACACAGAACAGCAGTAGAGTATAGATGAAAGACCCATCACCATAAGACACCTGTGTCCGAAAGGGCCCTCCAGTTGTTTGACTATAACTCACAGTTCTCCATTTGAGAATTATGAGAATTTAGTACAACATCATAAGCCAGACATGCTATCCCCATAAAACAGCAGCAAGTGTGTTCAAAGAAGAAACACTTTAACCCAATATAAAGTATGAGAAGTGCAAACTAAAACCAGGACAAAAAGATTATAACACATTTAACCTAAATGGATCTGACATGGACAATGGAGGGAACCAGCATAGTATGCTTTTAAAACCTCACTGATAACCGCTTTTTTTTAGATCAAATCATCAATAAGAATAAGCTTGGGTTAGTCTAAAATTGGAAGTTGCCAAAAAGCAGCATGACCCAGCAGCATGAGCTTTACAGTGATCTTTTATCCTCCATTGTTCTTGAGTCTTTGATATTTAAAATGCAGTGCAAATTTATAAGAGTGGAGCATTCACTAGTGGGGGGGGAGGGCCACACCACACATACCTTTTCTTTTATCATGACACAGATCAAAATCAACCCATAGTAACCCACCTCCAGAACTCCAGATTTTGCAGAATGCAGATCCTATCAATATGGATCAGCAGGATTGACATTTTAGTTCTGCAAAAGCTGGGGGGGGCATTAAAAAGGTGTGCCCAGTGTGTGTATATACACACACACACACACACATACACCTAACGTCAGAAGTACATCACAGTAAAGCTTAATAAAGTTAGAAAAGGATTCCCATATTAAAACAAGAATTCATCCAATTTAGAAAACACCCAGTGTGCCTTGCACAGAATAACAGCTATATCCCCATATTGTGCGTGCAAGACATGACTATGCTCACCTTGATGTCCTGCCCATCGCTGGTACAGCTGTATTGTCCCCAGACGGATCTGCATTATCAGGCAGCACCTCTATATCATCATCTCTGAAATTAGCAAACCTCCAACATGAAACCAGCCAATCCCAAAACAGGCTATTAACACAGACTGTTCCCCTCCCACCGCATTGTGAAAGACAATAGGTACAGATACTCAACAGGGAAACAAAATGCAAATCTACTTCACACAATAGAAATGGAAAAGACTACATTATACTGTATTGCATTTTAATATACCGGCCCAATGCTAAATAAGATCAGAGCCACATGTGGTCCTGGGATGTAAACAAAACTAAGTTTGACGAAAAGCAGTAAGTTTATAAAATTTCTCAATGGCAAGATCCAAAAGACAAAACCGCACAGGCACTTATTGACTGAATAAACCAAACATGAGGGGCATTGAGAACAGTACTCACTGATCTACAGGCAAAGGTTCCTTGGCAGCATCAGCCAGTTCTTTTTGCAGTTTCTGCTGACGCCTCCTGAATAGATAAAGCAGATGGGTCATACACTACATACTGCATATGGAGCTCTTGGGTATGGAAGCTTTACTGTTCCACAGCTAAAATGGCACTGCATGCAAAACCACCAAAATAAACATATGATTACTGCAAGGTACAGAAATCAGTAAGTAAAACTCATGACTAAAATACAGAGAAAAAAAAAAAAAAATGGGCAAAAGCTTAGAGAAATGCAAAACCTGTTGATTGTAAGTGCATATGGATTGTAGACATATAGAGATCACTCTAATTTGCTGCGCGTTTGAGTTTTTTGGAAGCGAGGAAAGAAAATACAAAATAAAAATAAAGCAGTTGCAGGTGTAATCAGGAGACAAATTGTTAGTACAGTTCTCAAACTATTTCTTAAATGGTAACTCACTTCTTTAAAATTTACATCATTGAGTAAAACAGTTTTTTTTAGCCACAAGATGCTCTTTATTTAAAATAACGATTTATGAAATGGCAAGAGATAGCTTTAAAAAGGCCAAACAATGACCAGACAGCTAGTGTAGAGCGTACCACATCACTCTTCGTTCACTTTAAAGTAAATAGATGCCAAGATCTAATGTTACTATTTACTACAGAGTGAGTAGGTGGGAGCTATGCAATGACCTTAAATGAACACAAACATGTATTCCCCTGTAAGCAGTTTAAAGGTGATTTTACTCCCCTTTTAGTTCAGTACAGTGTGGGTCTGTCGCAGCTTGGTTGAGATCAAACCGTTTTCAGCCAGTCCAAGGCTTTCATATAGGAAAAGCCTTGGAGTCCATTGCGCATGCGCAGCAAAAATGCCGTGCTTAGTCAATCAGAATCTCCTCAGAGATTGATTAAATCAATGCATTTTCATGGGAAGAGTTCAGTGCGTACATGCAAAGTGTGGAGGTGCTTAATGTCAGAGCTGCATATTGTCACTAGATGTGTTAGTAAGCAGCAGTGTAAACATGTGTTTTTCGCTGAAAAGGCAGTGCTCACATTAAAGAGCCTGCAGGGAATGGCTGTAGATACCAGAAAAGCTATATTGAGCTGTAGTTGTGCTGGTGACTAGTGTCCCTTTAAAAAAGAAGAACAGCTTAAAGAAACTTCATAAACTGCACATTTAATCACATCGCCTTTAAACAGGCTTCTTCTCTTCTACCCTGTGGCCATGGTGCATTTTCTCTTGCCAGGGTTGAATCTAGCCCTGATGATATAGTGTACAGATTTTGTCACATTAGAGGATAATAAAGCTTTGTGTATAAAAAGCCTGTGTAGGCTTCTACTAATTTAAGATTTTTAAAAAAAAAATTATACCCCGTAATTTTCATTAGTCATTTGTTTTGTCTGAAATACAGTGACCTTATTGGTGCTAAAAAATAAAATAAAAAAGTTTTGTACGGCTAATTAAAAAGTTAAAAGTTTGTATAAAATGTGTTCCACTTTGATTAAAACTGGGAAGCCACTCTGGCATCTGAATTTAAACCCTAAAAGGAATTCAACTCTTACAATCAACAGGTTTTGCATTATTCATGCACACAATGAAAAAAATAAAATAAACAAAATTAGCATATGTTCAGTGGTACATTGTACTAGTGTGCATATTCGACAATATACAGCAGCACAGACATTCTATGTTAACAGAGGTACATTTGTTTGGTCTGGGTGTGAAACAAGATACAGAATTATACAGACATGTTAATCAGGTTACAGCAACAGGGTGTGGACAGTCCATGAATTTTAGATTTTTCATGTTGTCATTTTATCACCACTTTGTCACATGAAATGCTAAAAATTGAAGGTATTTTGCCCATAATACAAAGTCTTTGAATTTTGTACGGAATGTTTTTGCCAATGTAGGAACAGACACACAGCACTCAGTTTTACAGAACTAGGTGATCTCTATGATTGCACTTATAACTTTTAGGGAGACAGTCTTTACTTTTTGGTACACCTCTGGATAGCAATCAGCTAATGTGCTAGTAACACTATTTTTGAAATACTGTTACATTAAAACTGAAGAAAATGGGGAAGGATAAAAAGGGAGAGAATAGAAAGAAAAGAAGTGATACAGATTTTTACGTTTTGGTAAAAACTAGTCTATAAAGAGACTGTCTAAATAAAATCATTCTTTACATAAATAGGAAATCTGCAGATAAAGCATTCCTGAGATGGCAAGATAGGATTACGTAACCAATATAGAAAAAAAAAAAAAAAATAATAAAAAAAAAAAAAGTGGTGAGAACAGAAAACAGCTCAATTAGCCTGCCCTTGTGGGTCCCGGCTCAGATCTTAAGCTGGTTTTAGCTCATCAAGTGCCATTACAGAGAGAACATCTGAAGCAGATGAGAGACTGATCCCACCCGTACAGGCAGTCCAGATCCAAAACGCCAGCAAGTTCCCTCTGCACTAGAGATACGGAAACCCCAGACGATAGTTTCAACCTTGTAAGGCATCAGTGAGGTATAGCCAATATCCCTCTAGGTACTGTGAGCAAAGGGTCCATGTCTGGATTGCCCTTTAAACTTAAGGAGAGAAAGTAGCAAGAGCGGTGAGAATGGAACATAAATGTAAACACAGGGGTAACTCTTTACTGCACCTTGAGATTGCACCGTACATTACCCACAACTGAATTTTAATAGTTCATCACTTCTAACAAGTGTTTAAAAAGGAATTATCCCCACCATTTAAAAAAAAAAAAAAAAAACCCACACACTTTCTGCCCTTTCCCCACTCCTCACTTTGTATCCTTCTCGTTCTCGGCATTCAGCCGGTTGGCTTCTTGAGCCTTCTCAGCCATCCAGCGGGTGACCAGCTCCAGGTTCTCTTCTGTGGTTTTACGCAACTTCTCTTCCAAAGCGTTGAAGGTGATTTGTAAAGCGTCGTATTCGTCTTTCAGGGTCTGGTTCGCACGTTCAAGTTCCTGCAGTTTGTTCCGTAGATCTTGACACTCCGTCTCCAATTCGTTAATAGTGCGCAAGTACTGCTTTATCCTGTAATAAAAAACGGGATTAAAAAATAGCAATGTGCAGAGAACTTATAAATATTTAAAATGGTTTATTCCACAAACAAGCAAAATAAAATAACTGCAAGAAAAAAAAAACCCCCCACAAATATAGACAAAGCTATGTATGAAATGCTAGGAGAAAAGTAACGGTCACAGGGCTAAAAGCATTTAATTTTACTTACGTTTCTTCATTTGACTGGATTTCCTTATCTTTCTGTTGCATCTGATTGTTCAACTCGATCACAGTCTGAGCCAACTGAGAGGGAGGGACAGTGATTGAAAACAACTCATCAAAGCTAAGTGAAGGGTGTTTGGCATTTTCAATCAATTTCCCCCACATTCGTAATGGACAGATACCCAGAAGCTACGGATAACGATTTCAGCTGTGCTAGTAATATGTGGACATGTATTAGGTTTGATTGAGATCTTTACATTTCCAGAATGATAACAGGTTTGAGGGGGATTTAAAAAAAAAAAATTAAAAGAAAATTGCTGCAAATATGTAAACCATATTTTATATTCCTTTAATTCACAAAAAATAAAATAAAGGAGGGGCGGTAGAAAATATATTTGAATCTACTAAATTCAAAGATGTTTGCCTAAATGTAGCAAGTATGGCCGTCAATTCATAGTTTCATATAATTTCTCAAATAATCCACAGCTAACGGTTTAGGAAAGGCTAAGCACGACAGTGTTTTAGATGGGATACCTCTCCACGCTTTTTGTGGAGCTCTGTCAGTTCTTCTTGGTGTTTTATCCGCATTTGAGCCATGTCTTGGAGTAGAGTTTCATGTCGTGACCCATCAAGACCTGGGCTGCAAAATTAAACATCATCCATAAATAATTCCATAAACCAAAAGGGGAGGGAAAACCAAAAAAATAAAAAACCCCACCAAGAAAAAAAACAAAAAAACAAAAACAAAAAAATAATCCCTCTGGCAGACAGACATGCAGCAAGTCTTGGTCCTGCTCAAGATTAAGGGCCCTATTGGTGCAGGTTTGCAAGAATAGAATATCAATATTCCCATTCATTAAATGGAATAACTGGATGTATGACACTATTAGTGTATACTCTGGAACAACAAAAGAAATTATCTGGAAAATAACCCTACACAAAGAAGATTTACAGACTGTATTTACATAATCTTATCTTGTTAATTCTGATATAAAAAAAAATGGCCATAATTTAGAAACACATGCATACAGATTTATGGAATTACAAAGATGAACTTCTGCAGGACACTTTAAAAATCCTCCTCTGCCCCTCTTAAACACTGGGAAGTCACTGAATACCATACCTGATGTCATGGCGGCTTTGCTGATCATATTTCTCAGACTGTAATTTGTCAGCTAACACAGAATGAAGGTCAGACTTTTCAAGTAGTCTGTTATCTATGAAAAGAGAAAACAAGAGCATTTAGCAGTGAGCCAAACCTTCATACCCTCAGGGATAGTCTGCTGGAGATGGCAGATTGGTGCCCTTGACCTTTGGATCTCTTGTTGTTGCCCCAGGGAATTCCAGACTGTCAGTACTTAACACTGCTCATCAATAAAGGCATTACAAATTAACCTATTGACTGCTGGAGAGCCAGAGTGCAAATTAAACCTTAGTCAGGTTATTTTAGTTTTGTTTCATGCAATGCACATCGGACCTTAACCTCGTTTTTTCAAAATGCTGCAGTACTATTTAAATATAAAAAAATAGTCATAATTAAATTAAAAAGTTAATCATTGTACAGCTTTCTCTGTCATTAGATGGGGACACAATGTAGAAAATGGAATTGCATGTCTCAATCAGCATGATTAAGAAAGATTCCCTGTGTTATGTGCAAATGCAAATATTACAAGTTTTAGAATGAAATGTTGTATTTCTTAAACTGTGTACTTTGTCTTTAAGAGATATTGCAAACTGACAAGGTGTTAGAAATGGAACATATTGTTTTTCATAACTGTTTCTTTAAGCAATAACCTCAGTGCATAATATGTTTGCGCCATTTTGTCCCAGACGAATTACAATAACGCATAAACAAGCTTCAAGGATATACTACGACACTTGCAGTACACAATATACTGTGGTAACCCCAAATTAATGGAACTTCCCCAAATCCGGGAATCTCCCACGACTGCGCACTTACGACTTAGTATAAACAACAGATAAGCTATTCAGACTTTAAGATGCCATCTTGAACTAAGTCAGGAAAATTTCCATGACGTATACACCCTTTAGTTATGGCCTTGTATGTTTGCCAAGTTAAGGGAGGTCCTAAATTGAATAAAGTAAAAGAAGTGTTACTTTTTCATATTTGAACTACAGTAACCTAAAATGGAGACACCTAAGGTATAAATAGGTGTACTTTTAAATGTTAAGAAACAGAGGAGAGACTTGGAGACAGACGCTGCTCCATCTTAAAATGACAGAGAGGCTGACATGATGACATGTTCAGAAGGGTATGTTAACCTATTAATGATATTTGCAAGCATGTAATTTAATCTTATAAACTCTGCTATAATGGATTTTATATTTTTATATAATAAATATCTAAAAAGACAATCTTGCTTCCAAGACAATCCTTATTTTATATTGTATTCTCAATTATTTATATATGGTAAATAGAGGATCTCTTACACTATATACAATTATGGCTAAGATATGCCATAACTGTATGGTTAGCACTTCTAAGTTCTATGCTTTAAGACATTATAGTGGTAAATAAGGGAACCACCAGCGGTTACACCTGAACCTACTCTACTGGTTTGTTTCTGCCTGTCAAACTAGTTGATCCTGTTCGCTTTTTGCACTCTATGTAGCATATCTGCTCTGCTCAGCTAATGCAGAAGTCATCAGCATTAGCTGTCAAACTTTGGAAAGAAGAGTGTTATGGGCCTATCCACTCTCCAGCTCTCCACCAAAGCTGGCCAGGCAGACACTTAAGAGCAGCTTCCCTAGGAAGTGGAAGCCACATACTGTAAAATTCTGTTGTGTGTTAGCATGTTCAGTATATCAGCAAAGGCTGCTGTTCAAATAACGTTATGATGCTTTGAGTGTTCCTTTATGTAATCACTTCATGCAGGGATGAAAGCCTGATATGGACATGGCAAGCATAATACTGCTACTGAAAAAAAAAAAAAAAAAAAAGCGCGACACACTGGCCCCAAGCTACAGACCGATATCACTCATTAACGCCGACTTTAAAGTTTTCGCAAAAATCTTAGCATCCAGACTCACACCCCTCCTTCTGCGACTGATCCACCCAGACCAAGTTGGCTTTATACCAGGACGACAACTGTATGAAAATACTTGATGGGTAGTGGACCTGATACATGGCGGAGTCTAAAGTGCTTTCTCTGGTGCTCTCTTTGGACGCAGGGAAGGCAATTGACAGTGTGATGTGGTGGTATGTATTTAACCTGCTCCAATTTCGGGGAGTTCCCAGTAGGGATTGACCGATATTGATTTTTTAGAGCAGATACCGATACTCTGAACTTTCAGGCAGATAGCTTACCGATATTCTGTACATTTACTGTATTTTTTTCTGCAAATCTCTTAAGTGGTAAATGCACAAAATATTAATGCCCGTCAGATTTTTTATGTTTTCAAGAATATTTGTGTGTAGTGGATGCAGTGAGTATTTAATTAGTAAATGCAGTGTGTTTGTGTAGTCACTACACTGTAGTGGATGCAGTGTGTATGTAGTGGATGCAGTGTGGCAGTGTGCGGTAGGAACTCCTCCCCATCCCTTCTTTCAATGCCTCCCCCTACCCCAGTGTTTCTTTTCCCTTCCCTTAATGTTCCTCTCTCCCACCCTTCTCACATAGTGTTCCTTAACACACCCACCCCCCCATCCCATAGTGCCCCCTCTCTCCCCTCCTTGGTCCCTGCTCCCCGGTGACTTCTGGTAGTCACCGCGGTACAGGATAATCAGTCTCCTTTTTCCCGGCCGGACTGATAGGAAGTGCTCGGTTCCCTTACTGCGGTGCGCACTGCTCCACTCGGCCACAGTACACAGAGTGCCTGGCAGGAGGGAGCGCTGTCACTCCGATCTAGCGCCATTTGGGCCAGTGAGCCCTAAGGAGGCCAGTTGTGCCGCCTTATGGACGCACCGGCCCACCCATTATCATATTGCTGGTGACAGCAATAAAGGCCCTATATACGGATTACGAGCACAGACACTCATAACAGGAGCAACGAGGACCCCATTCTCATTAGTCAACAGAACCAGGCAAGGGTGCCCTTTATCCCCACTGCTGTTCGCACTGACACTGGGTGCAATCTGATGGCTTGTAAGAGTGGTTCCAAACATCCAGGGGGGGGGGGTGTAAAAGTGATTGGAAAACCATTTACAGTATCAGCCTACGCCGATGATTTCCTCCTAACCCTCCAGAACCTGATAAACTCCCTTCATTATTTAACATTGCTACTGGACCATTTTAGATATTTTGTGGGCTGTAAAGTTAACTACAAAAAAAAAAAAAAAAAAGTAAGGGGCCATGCCCTTTTATCCAAAAACCTCGGACAGGGTACTCATCCACAGCCGATACCACCTAAAAATAAATGCAGAGTAATTTACGTTTTTGGGCATTCGCCTAACAGCGGACCCAAATACCTTCGCTTTCAACTATGCCCCCATGTTCCAAAACCTCACCAGAGAGTTAGGACAGTCGACAGAAAGGTCTATTTCCTGGTTGGGGTGCACAAATTAAAATGAACATTCTACCATGATTGTTTCAAATCAAAATCACTACCAGTGAGCGTTACCCAGGGTGACCTAGCTGGAATACAAAGTGTAATCGACACATTTATATGACAAAACAGCCAAGATTAGCTCGCAGCCACCCAAAACCAAGAGAGGGATTGAGACTTCCCCACCTCTACCAGTATTACCAGGCAGCACAACTAACCTAGATAATACAGTGGCACACACCAAGATAAAAGTCGCTGGATAGACCTGGAGTCCCTGATGACGGGGGTGGATCTTCCCCAGTTCTACATGTGGGTACCTAGGACCAAACGAGCTATCCTCAACTCCATACAAATATGGGACCAATCACGACAAATACTCCCTGAATTACCTCCCGTCCCCCAGGACTTCAGTGTTTAGGAATACAGCTTTCCCACCAGGGATGAGGGCTAGAGATAAAGCAATATCAGATGACACTGAACTTATCAGATAAATGCAGGCACCTGTGTAAAATGATGAAATTAAGTTCACAGACCCTACAGAGGACAATACCTTTGGACCCATGGACATGCCTGCTGTCCAGACTTACAGACGGCCTAACCAAACATGAACAAAAACATCTTAACATGATTACCCTAGCATGCTGTAGAGCATTGGTACAAAAATGGTCCTGCTCAGAAATCCCTCAAATAGCCTTGGTCATAGCAAAACAACTACCTTATGGACAAGCTAATAGCACAAGTCAGAAACACATTGAATAATTTCAATAAGGTATGGGACGTCTGGGAACAATACAATACATAAAGTTTCACTGTGAGTATAGAGTGGAGAGGGGGGGAGAGGAGGTACAGATAGAGACAGTCAGCGTGAAGTGTCAATCGCACCTATTATTTACAACACTAACTTCTGGGTAACATACACAACAGATAGCTCTAGAACCCAGATGGGAGACAGCGGCACCTCCACCAGGAGGGTTGCTGGTCAAGGCTGAGGTATGGGATTTCAGCTTGCGTTGACACAGCCATAAATAAGCCAGAATGCATTACACACACACACACACTTAGGATTCACACTTATTAGCAATACAACATTTCAACAATACAACCATATACAGCATGAAATAATAATCTGTGAGAACTGGGCTTTGGCAGGATTTAGCAATGTAGAAGCACTACAGAATTAACCATAACCTTCAAATCAAAGGAGGTTCAGAAGAGTAGAAAAGTCTACAACCCTTACCGTGGCCAATTCCAATTATAACCCTGCGTTCACAGCATATCATTGCACGATTTGAACATGCAATGTGTGCTTATGCCATCCAAATGTTATTCTTAAAATTATATCCCTCATTATGACATTTAAAGGAGAGGAGGTGAAGGCACCATACTACACATTTAATAAATAGCAGAGCCCCATTACTACACATTATTTAATCTCATGCTGGTCTGGCAGAGCCCCCATTACTACACATTATTTAATCTCATGCCGGTCTGGCAGAGCCCCCATTACTACACATTATTTAATCTCATGCCGGTCTGGCAGAGCCCCCATTACTACACATTATTTAATCTCATGCCAGTCTGGCAGAGCCCCCATTACTACACATTATTTAATCTCATGCCGGCCTGGCAGAGCCCCCATTACTACACATTATTTAATCTCATGCTGGTCTGGCAGGGCCCGCATTACTACACATTATTTAATCTCATGCTGGTCTGGCAGGGCCCCCATTACTACACATTATTTAATCTCATGCTGGTCTGGCAGGGCCCCCATTACTACACATTATTTAATCCCATGCTGGTCTAGCAGGGCCCCCCATTACTACACATTATTTAATCTCATGCTGGCCTGGCAGGGCCCCCATTACTACACATTATTTAATCCCATGCTGGTCTGGCAGGGCCCCCCATTACTACACATTATTTAATCTCATGCTGGCCTGGCAGGGCCCCCCATTACTACACATTATTTAATCCCATGCTGGCCTGGCAGGCACCCCATTACTACACATTATTTAATCCCATGCTGGCCTGGCAGGGCCCCCATTACTACACATTATTTAATCCCATGCTGGCCTGGCAGGGCCCCCATTACTACACATTATTTAACTTCATGCTGACTTGGCAGGGCCCCCATTACTACACATTTAATCCCATGCTGGCCTGGCAGGGCCCCCATTACTACACATTATTTAATCTCATGCTGGCCTGGCAGGGCCCCCCATAACTACACATTATTTAATCTCATGCTGGCCTGGCAGGGCCCCCATTACTACACATTATTTAATCTCATGCTGGCCTGGCAGGGCCCCCCATTACTACACATTTAATCTCATGCTGGTCTGGCAGGGCCCCCATTACTACACATTATTTAATCTCATGCTGGTCTGGCAGGGCCCCCCCTTACTACACATTATTTAATCTCATGCTGGCCTGGCAGGGCCCCCATTACTACACATTATTTAATCCCATGCTGGCCTGGCAGGGCCCCCATTACTACACATTATTTAATCCCATGCTGGCCTGGCAGGGCCCCCATTACTACACATTATTTAATCTCATGCTGGCCTGGCAGGGCCCCCATTACTACACATTATTTAATCCCATGCTGGCCTGGCAGGGCCCCCATTACTACACATTTAATCCCATGCTGGCCTGGCAGGGCCCCCATTACTACACATTATTTAATCTCATGCTGGCCTGGCAGGGCCCCCCATAACTACACATTATTTAATCTCATGCTGGCCTGGCAGGGCCCCCATTACTACACATTATTTAATCTCATGCTGGCCTGGCAGGGCCCCCCATTACTACACATTTAATCTCATGCTGGTCTGGCAGGGCCCCCATTACTACACATTATTTAATCTCATGCTGGTCTGGCAGGGCCCCCCCTTACTACACATTATTTAATCTCATGCTGGCCTGGCAGGGCCCCCATTACTACACATTATTTAATCTCATGCTGGTCTGGCAGGGCCCCCCATTACTACACATTATTTAATCTCATGCTGGCCTGGCAGAGCCCCCATTACTACACATTATTTAATCTCATGCTGGCCTGGCAGGGCCCCCATTACTACACATTATTTAATCCCATGCTGGCCTGGCAGGGCCCCCATTATCTAATCCCATGCTGGCCTGGCAGGCCCCCCATTACTACACATTATTTAATCCCATGCTGGCCTGGCAGGGCCCCCCATTACTACACATTATTTAATCCCATGCTGGCCTGGCAGGGCCCCCATTACTACACATTATTTAATCCCATGCTGGCCTGGCAGAGCCCCCATTACTACACATTATCTAATCCCATGCTGGCCTGGCAGGGCCCCCATTACTGCACATTATTTAATCTCATGCTGGCCTGGCAGGGCCCCCATTATCTAATCCCATGCTGGCCTGGCAGGCCCCCCATTACTGCACATTATTTAATCTCATGCTGGCCTGGCAGGGCCCCCATTATCTAATCCCATGCTGGCCTGGCAGGCCCCCCATTACATTGCTGGATGAGGTCCTCGAACGCCTGTCTCTGCTCGCGGTCCCTCCGCCGCAGCTCTCGGGAGATGTGCAGTTTCCAGCCCGGTTGGGCAGCTGATCGGGTGTGGGTCGCCATCCGTCCTCACATAGCGGCTGCCTCCCCTCCGCTCACTGACAGCGCTATGGCGGCCAGGCCCTGTCTCTATACTGTCACACTGCTTCCCGGGGATCCCTGCCGTCTGCTCTTTTATCCGCCATAGCAATGCGCCCCGGGGGTCCTTCCACGGTCGGTCGCACTGTGTGACGTCACGAGCAGGCTGTCCCAGCACTGCCGGAGAAAGGAGTAAAATCAGAAATGGTGTCAGGAGCTAAGGAATTGGGTATGGGAAGAGCAGGCCGTGGCCGTGCTATGTGGAGTATTGGTAGGGTCGTCTCTAAACGGGAATGTGTGTTTGGCCGCCGTCGCGGGAAAATGACGCAGTGAGGGTTGGCATGTAGTGACGCCATATTGGGATTGGCAGTTTGTATTTACATAAGGACAGGCAGCTGTCAAGCTCCAGCTGTTAACCCTCACAGGGTTGTTTACTAAATTGAGGGGTCGCAATGAATTTTAAAATTTAAGGCCAAATTTTCCAGTTTGCCTTGAATTTGAAATTCACTTTGGGAGTGAATAACCCAGACAAAGGTGGACACTACTTGCAGAGTTATTCAGCAAAGTGTGAATTAGTGAATGTTCAAAGAGAATTTATTTTAAATTTAGACTAAAATAGCTGAACTTGAAAAATCTTCCAAGTCAGTTTTCTTTTAATTTTTAACTGCAGTGTCTTAAATTCTGAACACGGCACACTTTTGTAAAAAAAACAAAAAAAACCTTTATTCACTAAACTCTGAATTGGAGCAAATTAAAGGGTTACTTCAGCCACTACGACCACTTCTGGTTTTAGAAGTAGTCATACGGCAAGCAATCTTTATGTGCAGTGTTTTAGCTTGAAAAGCTCCCTATACAGAGAAATCTGTGATTTTGAAGTTACATTTCTGGCACACGACTTAGTAGGCCTGTAGGTCTGTGTGCGTGTGGCTCGCTCACATAGTCCAACTATATGGCTCAATTGATATTTGTCCCCTCCCTCCATAATGCCAGTTCTCGTAGCCCACCTCCTATGATATTTCATACATGTCCCTACACCTTTATTTCCCCACTCTTTGTCCACCCCCTTGTCCATCCTGTGAGCAGCCCACATTCTCTCCCTTCCTTGGGGGTACTGTAATCATCAACGTGAACCTTGCTTATGGGCACGAGTAATGTTCACTGTTTTGAGCATGCATGGTGTAGTGTTCACTGTTTCTGAGAGATTCAATATTTCTCCGTCAGAAAACGCTGAGAAGGTAGAGGGAACTAGTAATGCAGCGTCACGACACGAGGCATAGAAAAGATCTAGGAGAACTTGGTCCAGTGACGGGGATTATGCTTAGGGTTACGATGTTTCAGTATTTCATTTAAAGTTAGGGTTAGAATTGAAGATTAGGCAAAACCCATGACTAACTTTATTTTTGATATGCAGTGTACTTCATTTCCGTGCAGATGCCTAAATCGTGTCCACAGCTTTCATGCGTGATGATGTTGTGATGAAAAGCAGTGGTAGATAGATTTTTCACTTATTTATTTATAAAATATTTTACCAGGAAAGACACATTGAGATTTCTCTCATTTTCAAATATGTCGTATATCACGGTAATATTCCATGCTTCCCAGCACTTAAAATGGACAAGAAAATACTTTTTATTTGTAATTATTATACACTCAGATGCAACAACAATATGGAGCTTCTAGAACAGAGGGACATTAGGATAGAAAAGAGGGAGAGAGGGATTAGGGCCCAGAACAGGGACATACAATCGTAAATAGGGACAGCTGGGAGGTATGCTATTCTCCCTAGTAAATGCTTCAAAGAAACTGCTGGAATTAGCAAAACATAGAGCCATCACTTCTAGAAAACACTATAAGAGTTGTGCCAATTGTCAGGAATTACATTCGGACTTTAGTAACTAACCCTGTAAACTTTAGTAAACTCTGTAACGTTAGTAAATTACCCTGTATCTCCCATCACTGCAGTGCACTGCTTAGCCTTTAAAAGTAAACTGTTTTTATTTAAAGGACCACTATAGGCACCCAGACCACTTCAGCTTAATGAAGTGGTCTGGGTGCCAGGTCCAGCTAGGGTTAAACCTTTTTTTTATAAACATAGCAGTTTCAGAGAAACTGCTATGTTTATAATAGGGTTAATCCAGCCTCTAGTGGCTGTCTCATTGACAGCCGCTAGAGGGCTTCCGCGCTTCTCACTGTTATTTTCACAGTGAGAAGACGCCAGCGTCCATAGGAAAGCATTGTGAATGCTTTCCTATGGACTGGCTGAATGCGCGCGCAGCTCTTGCCGCGCATGCGCATTCAGCCGAGGAGGAGGAGAGCTCCCCGCCCGGCGCTGGAGAAAGAGGTAAGTTTAACCACTTCCTCACCCTAAAGCCCGGCAGGAGGGGGACCCTGAGGGTGGGGTCACCCTCAGGGCTCTATAGTGCCAGGAAAACAAGTATGTTTTCCTGGCACTATAGTGGTCCTTTAACTTGCAGGAACCTGTTGAGCTGACATGCTCAGCTATAGTATGCATTTGTATGGGCATGACACTGGCATTCTGCTGCTCTTATAACTGATAAGTTCATAGTGTTCTTTTTGATTCAAGCCGAGTGGCAATTTAGTGAATAGATCCCAAAGTTTTTTTTTTATTGTCTCCTTGATTGGCTTAGGGCAGGGGTGCGCAATCTGCGGCCCTCCAGATTTTGTGGACTACATCTCCCATAATGCTCTTAGGGTCATAATGCTAGCAAAGCATCAAGGGACACATAGTCCAAAACATCTGGAGGGCTGCAGATTGCCCACCCCTGTCTTAGGGGAATAGTATAGATTTAACGATGGTGGAACCTGCCTGAATTATAATATAACTACATAATTACATTATCCATATTGGTGCATGAAGCATTGTACAGCCAGATCTCATTCTGATTATTAAATAGTTAATGAATTCACTGTGGAAAACCCACAATTCGGAGTACATTACCATGTTAAAAATGTAAATAGACCTTGAACTACGGGAAAACCAAACAAAAACCAACACTGTTTGCCTTTTCTTGCTAATGGAAATTTCTTGCAATACCACCAGTTTATGTTTGCTAAACTGCAATGACATCAGTGGTTTAACTGGGTTTTCATTAGCTTTTGAATCATTGTTTTTCATAGAAACACACAGACACTCACTGACAGACATTTTTTTTATTTTTTATATTTTATTAGTGATATTGCAGATCTTGATGGTAAGGTATATACTCGAGTATAAGTTGACCTGAATATAAGTCGAGACCCCTAATTTTACCCCAAAAAACTGGGAAAACTTATTGACTCGAGTATAAGACTAGGGTGGAAAATGCAGCAGCTACTGGTAAATTTCTAAATAAAATTAGATCCCCCAAAATTTATATTAATTGAATATTTATTTACAGTGTGTGTATATAATGAATGCAGAGTGTGTGTGTTTGTGTAGTGTATATATAATGAATACAGTGTGTGTGTGTATATATTGCAGAGTGTTTGTGTATGAATGCAGTGTGTGTGTGTATATAATGCAGTGTGTGTATGAATGCAGTGTGTGTGTATATAATGCAGTGTGTGTATGAATGCAGTGTGTGTGTATATAATGGTGTGTGTGTATGAATGCAGTGTGTATGTGTGTATGAATGCAGAGTGTGTTTGTGTATGTGATGCAGAGTGTGTAAGCTTGGTGGGGGGTGGGCATTTTTATTATTTATTTTTTATTATTATTATTTTAATATTAACCTTTTTTTTTATATTATTACATTTTTATTTTATTATAATATTATTATTATTTTTTTGTCCCCCCCTCCCTGCTTGTTGCCTGGCCAGGGAAGCGGGCTATATTATTCCCTGGTGGTCCAGGGTGGGCTGTGCAGGAGGGGGGCTGGGAGCAAGATGATACTTACCTTTACAGCAGCTCCATTCAGCTCCACTGTAAGTCTCGCGGTCTGCGTGCCGCGCGGAGCCACGCTCTGATGGCCGTGGCTCTCGCGAGACTTACAGTGGAGCTGAACGGCACGGAGGAGAAGGGAGCTGAACGGAGCTGCTGTAAAGGTAAGTAACAGCTTGCTCCCAGCCCCCCTCATTACAAGCCCGGCGGTCCTGGTCTGTATTATGGCAATGTAAATTGCCATAATACAGACATTGACTCGAGTATAAGACAAAAATGTGCCAAAAAACTCATCTTATACTCGAGTATATACTGTATTTCTTTTTGCTGATGATACTAAGATATGTAACAGGGTTGATGTTCCAGGAGGGATAAGCCAAATGGCAAATGATTTAGGTAAACTAGAAAAATGGTCAGAGTTGCGGTAACTGACATTTAATGTGGATAAGTGCATGCTAATAGGTCATGCTAATAGGTATATTTTAAATATAAATTATACTACAATGCTATACAATAGAATACTACACTATGGTAAGATTACGTTACTCAAATATTGTGAAGGAATATATACTATAGCTAAACATTAGAAAATAACTAAGTAGAAGCTAATGACTATAATAAACAAACTAAGCAAACATAGTAAGAGCATATGAGCCAGAAAACATGCAAACAGATCTAAATAGATAACTTAGTCATAAAAGAAACATCTGAATTACAAGGGAGGGAACTCCAAAGAAACCGGTGGAAGGATATTCGCCTCCTGCCATTACTAAAATTCGGATTATTGGTACTCTAAAGCTAGCATAATCTTCAATTTTACCATGTGACAGGAGGCTTCATATTTTGCAATTTTAACGCTACGCTAAGAGTGAAAAGGCAGCATTAGAATGTGGATGAAAATAGAAAGTCCGGAACATAGTTTTGTGTAACCAATACGCCGCCCGAAGGATATCTGACAAGGCGGCTCTCGCCGCCAAGCCAATGATGAATCAATACCGGCCAAGGAGAGGAGCCAGTGTACCCATCTGGCTAAAGTAGTAGTCGAAACTGGAGCATGAGGTTTTATGTAGGAGATCAACAATTGTCGGGAGGATGGAGTGCGTAG